ACTGTATCCCTCTGGTCCATGTGAGCACAGGAATAAGACACAATCATCAAACAATGTGTCAGAGCAGTGTCATTAGGAGAGACAGATGGCTGAGACGCAGCTGAAGAGCAGTATATAGCACAAAAATGTAATCAAAATCCGCAGTACTCAGTGGACAAAGTTATAGTGCGTGTTTTTAGCCCAGGATAATTGACATTATTTGTAAATAACTAATAGCAACACCAAGGAACATCTTCTAAGCATGAATGTAAGAGCTCTATTTCCTAAGAGACTTCTATTTCTTTTTTCCCTTTCTCATGCTTTCTTCCCAAAGGGATGCCAATCTCAGAGGCTGCTCTACTGACAAGATTCCCCATTTTTCATGAGGCAGGATTCCCAATGTGTTATAGCAGAGGTAATGATGCAAGTAATACAAAGTCTAAGCTGCCCTGGGAAGCTTTTGCCAGCTTTTTAATCTCCTGCCCTCAAAATACAACTTCCTTTATTCTGTAACCTGACAACAGAACTACCGCTCAGCCTCTGCAGTTAAACTACCCTCCCTAGCAGAGTTCCAGATAAAGACAACAGATTATCTACAAGTACCAGTTGCATGGTTTCTCACACCTTGAACAAGGTAGGCAGCCCATCAGGAACAGCCCAGCTACGGCTCAGCAACCTTGTCTGACCAGCTCTGTGTAGAACTGTGGTGGGGATCCTGACAAGCGCTTTCTCCAAACACAACCAGAAAGCAGTGCCAGGAGTGCTGCCTGTACGCTCACAACAGACTTCTTTGTAACCTCCAGGCAGTAAATTTCCCTTTTTGCCTTTTAGGAGTTTCTTCAATAAGTAAGAAAGTCTCCTTCAAGAGGAAAACCCTAGACAACTCTAGCTGAGGGTTTAGGTCCATTAAAACTGAAGTCCAGCATTCAGACTCCACTCCCTTCATGACAAGTTGTAAAAAGTCTTGTTACACAAAACCCCACACTTCGGGACACAAAACGTGACGGGGTACAGAATGGAGAAAGAACCCAAGCATGAGTCGCAGCAGCAATTGGCTGTGATTAATATACACACTCAGGTGATATGCCAGTTTGTGCTCAGTCCCATTTCCAGGTACAACCACCATGGTAGTTATCACCTGAGATATCACAACAATCAGCATTAAATCTCAGCCATAGGAAGATCCGTTTGTCACAAACTGAATACTTCCTACTATTACTTATTCAATAGGACATATATTTAGCTGATTAGTGTGTGCTATCTTGTTACTATTTTATTTCACATACTGTTGCTGTGCAGGTAGAAATGTGCACGTGTGAAGGGTGCAGCAAAAAAAAGGTAGATGAAAGAAAAGGAATCATAACTCATTTTGTATATTAAAACTAGCTGCACCAAACACATTATCTGCAGGTCTGTGGAAGAAAAAAACTTAATAACAAAGGAAGGTATGTTAACCAGTTAATTATAGATGATAGGCCAGCAGCCAGGGATGGCTACAGGACTATCTTAACTGATAAGCACTTTATGTCCTTCAATGGATCCAGCTTCATGACATCTCAATAACTATATCCAGCTTCATGACATCTCAATAACTATATCTCACAAACTGTTGGACTCACAACTACGATCTTAGCAAGTCTACTCATGTTTTCTAATTTGGTGAAAGAGCAAGACCAAAGATATTTAACAGAAGTTCCTCTAAAGTGAAAATTATGTAGTAATAGGTTTGTAAATAATGAACCAACTGTTTTGCATGTTCCTTATTTTTGCTGATGCATTTGCACTCTGTAAAACTGAGCAAGAAAACATGGATCAAAATCAGAACAAAATTTACTATGTTGACTTGCAGTTTACTGAAACTATCCGATGAAAAATGACCATAGCAGAAGAAAGTATTAGAAATCATTGTTTTAGTTGTAAAACCTTTGGTATTTCTGACATATTTATGTATATTTCTAATGCTTTTATGATGTCATGTTATAGGATGACAGCATAATGGAAATTAACCAGGGAATTTATTCTACCAGTTTCAGTGGGTATTTCCTACAGAGTACCACAAGAAATACAAAAATACTAACAAAGGGAAATCCCTCCACAGTGCATATCTGAAGAATTTCCTGTACTGATGTGAGAGAGAATTTCAAAACTGTGAAAGAACGCCCTCATTTATGAGTACGCACTCTCAACAGGCACATTCTGTTGACCAGTCAGTTTACCATTTTTTAGAGAGCATCACATCCAAAGAATAAGTCACCCCTTCTTAAAGATGAAGCAAAGTATCAGGCAGCTGTGAGCATGGATTTCTTGCAAATAAAGATATTCTTTACTGGCTTTGCGTGGTCAGTCATAAAACAAATCACTGACTATATCGTGTTTTATACAAGGGTGCAGGTCATGCCTAAAACAACTGAACTGATAAATGCCCTCTATATGGGACAATCCTTAGATTTAGTATCATTCAAGGCTGCTGGATGTGGCAAGTAATTGATTTACATCTCAATTTTACGTAGAATTTATGCACATGATTAGTTCTGAACCGCAACCAAAATCAAACTCCTAGTCTCAGTGAGTACTGTGCCTGCAGCTCTTCCAGAAACTAAGTTTTCAGTATGATCTGTGACTGTACTATCCAAAATCTAGAAATCGGTGTCACAATCAGAACCTGATAACCCATATAACATTAAAAGAAGGACAAAGATAGAAATGACTTCATAATGACCTCACAGCTTACAAGATGCCCTTCGTTTGGCTGACTGTTCTGTAGAAATCTTTTCTTTAGAGTGAATCTCTGAGCACACCATAAATATTTCTGTCAGACTCTCAGTAAGCTGATTATTTAAAAACTTTTTAAAATGTTGAAAATAGCAATTATCTGAGAATAAATATGGGGTTAAATTTATGACTAAACATCTCTCACAGAGAAAAACCTCTTTAAAGCCTCACATTAAAAATTCATATTTCTCTGGGCACTGCTTTAGTGTGATGACTACAATGTTACATTTTACAAAATGTTAATTTTCCTTTTCCCAAGTTTTCTGAAGAGAAACACTCCATTGTTTCTTTAAAATAACAGGAACATTACAACACAGCAGGGGAAAAGCAAGAAGAAACTAAACACATTTTCCTTCTAAATGGCATATTTATGCTGTACATAAAAATAAGTGTGCACTGAGGCAATTCACTCAGATTATATGCCATTTATTTCAAGATTCCTGGTCCATAGCTCTTCTGTGTTCCCAGAACCCTTTTGTACTGCTTTCTGTTTTCTTCTGTTCTTCATTTATGTTTCGGTGCACTAAATTCCAGTTGATGTTCTTCTACTCAGCTTAGCTCCTCTGCCTCTCTTCAAGACAAAAAGGGCTTGTGTCAATAGGCACAGCCAGCAGTTCAGATGATTACCATGTGACACAACTATCTTTTTCTTGCTGTAGCCAGGTTTTTTTGTATTGAAACTTCTCTATACATTTGAATTTTTACTGTAACTCCCTAATGCATCTTTACTGACTCAGGCTTTTCAAAGAAATTCAGAGGATAACTTCATGGACAGAAATTATCATTAATTACTTTAAGACTCAGAAATTAGAACAACGGAGACTTGTGGGCCTTGTTTGAAATCAGGTGGAAATTATTCTGAAAACTGCGTTGAAGTGCTGAATATTTCCTTTTAAATAAAATAAGCATAGAATCATAGAATAGTTTGGGTTGGAAGAGACCATTAAAGGTCATTTAGTCCAACCCCCCTGCAGGGAGCAGAGACATCTTCAACTTAACCAATTGCTCAGAGCACCATCCAACCTGGCCTTGAAGGTTTCCAGGGATGGAACCACAGCCATTGTTTCACCACCCCACTCTCACTGTAGAAGATTTCTTCCCTATATCTAGACTGAATCTACCCTCTTCTAGTTTAAAACCATCACCCCTTGTCCTATCACAACAGGCCTAGATAAAAATCCTGTCCCCATCTTTCTTGTAGGCCCACTTTAAGTACTGGAGGACCGCAATAAGGTCTTCCCATGGAGCCATCTCTTCTCCAGGCTGAATAGCCCCAACTCTCTCAGCCTTTCCTCATAGAAGAGGTGCTCCAGCGCTCTGATCATTTTAGTGGCCCTCCTCTGGACCTGCTCCAAAGGTCTGTGTCCTTCTTATGCTGAGGGCTCCAGAAATGGATGCAGAACTCCAGGTGGGGTCTCACCACAGCAGAGTAGAAGAGCAGAATCACCTCCCTTATTCTGCTGGCATTGATGAAGATATTAAACAGTTCTGGTCTCAATATGGACCTTTGAGGGACACCACTCGTCACTGATCTCCACCCAGACATTGAGCAAAATAAGATGAAGTATGAGCAGTGGTGCTAATCATAGACCAGTGGCTCAACTCACAGGTGTCTGGTGCTGCTGCAGTGCCTGAGGGTCGCTGCCTCGTCTCCAGCTGCCACTCCAGAGGAGGACAGTTCTCCCCAAGGTCCTATATCATATTTCCAAACCCCGCACAGATACACAGCAAGTCATTGGGTGTCACAAGTTGCACTGAGTACATTTGTCTGATCAAATACATGGAGCCATTAGCATGTCGGTTTTGAATTACAGAAATAAAATAATATTGAATATCTTATGTTAAAAGGAGCTTTTTAAAAATACTGACCTACTTGTCCGTCACTGCAATAAATTTCTTTGCATTGTAATACATTTATTTGTAGTTAGTCTGTACAAACACAAGTCCTGTATTCTGTAAAACTGGAAACGGTGTTTGCAAAGTAAGAAGCTGGTATTTTTAAGCTGGCTTCAGTATTCCTAATAGCTGATTACACTTTTTGTTAGGTCGGTTCATGGGGGCCATATATCATTGGATATAGTCTTCTACCTGCTCCATGTTTGAAATAACAGAGAATTCCAAGGATTATTAGATTTTCTTCTTACATTTTGTCTTTGAAAAGTGAAAGTACTTGGAAAGCCATCTTTTGGCACAAAGAGTTTTCAGCCTGCTTCTCCTACAGCCATGCAAAGAACCTCTCTTTTACTCACCTGTTTGTTCCAGCTACTGTTCAGCTTTGGGGACAAATTTCAGCTCACTCTTTATGTTCTGAATCTCTGACAAGTTGACAGCAGGACCTGGAAGTTTCTTAGCTCCTGGGAGATGTTTCTTGTCTTTCTCCTCCTCTGTCAAAGCAGGAGCACTCTGCACAAAAGGATATCAGTGACCTTACTGCCACAATAGCAATCTCTCGAACATGAGCATAGGTAATTTAGTTGAGAAACAGGAAAGGATGTTTTTAAAATAAATATAATCCTAATGGAAAGGGGGGGGGGGAGAAAGACATAGGTTATTTTGTTGATTGTTGTGTAAAATGTCTAAAAATATACTGAAAAAAATGCAGGTGCTCAGTGCAGAGGAATGTGGATCTTTTGGTAAATGAGTAAGAATTTAAGAATTTACAGTGTCAGACCATTAGCGGAAAACTAACTGAGCAGAGCATTAAAGGCAACTCCCAGGTCCTTCACATTTTAGGGAAAAAAAGAGGGAAAAAAAATTTTTATCATCTAATTTCTTTCAGAGTCTCATAGTTGCTGGCCAGGTGGGGAGGAAAACCAGCACGCATTTCTGCAGCCCTGGAGAAGAGATATGATACTAGGTTATGGACCCCGAAATCTCAGTCCAAGCTCAGTTCGAGGTGATTTTTAATTTTTCTTAACTGCAGTTGCAAGACCAGAAAGGGTCTTGTCATTTTATGTTTGAATTAGGGTAGTGTCTGACAGCTATTTTGCTGACACTGTAAAACTTCAGGCTAAATAACAGCACTTACACAATAGCAAGCATCTCAGCTAATTTCCCGATGGACCACAATATTTCAGCCCTTGGTACTTCCATGGCTGTACTATTGCTCCTAGGTGGGGTAGAGCATGTATTTTAGACAATTTCTATTCTAGGCTGAGCAAGGTTTTGAAGGAGTAGTTTTCCAGTAAGGATTTTAAGGTTCATCCAGCCTGTTCTGTTATTTTATAAAGCTGGCATAGAGGGGGAATCATGTAGGTTTAGAGATGAATTAATATTTCACTGCAAATAATTTCACAATGAAATTATTTTTTCTTTTTTGATTAGTTTGTGAATGTCCTCTTCGGATGGGCTTTTTGGAGTTAATTCAGTATTTGGATTAATTAGTCACCCTTTCTGGAAAGGTGTCTTGACCTTGAACAGTCAATTCTTAATATTTGACTTAATTTTTAAAATTACAAAGTTATCTGACAAATATTATTGGTCAGTAAACCCCTCTTTTTTTCAGTTGACTAATGGACCACATGCTAATGAGGAAGCAGAATTTTTGCAATGCCAAATAGCAAATAAACAAGGAATTTTATAAAACTGACATTTTCTTCCTATCTGATCTTTAAGCCACATGGTTATGTTGTTTCCTTTGACAGTTTACTTGCACAGTTACCTAACCTGAATAATCATTAAAAACTACCATCCCCCAAACCCCGATAGCACATACTGTGTTAAAAACACTATTTAAAGTCATCTACAATACCATTCCTTCTCATGGTACAAACGGTGCAAACTTTGACCATGTTTTGGAGACTTGGTGTCCCATAAATCGACGATAGCTTTCCCTGCTAATCTCAGGTGTGCGCTATTTATGACTGCAGCCCTCCCTATATCACCCACTGTGTGTGCAATGCACAGCTGAGATCAGACCTTGGCCTTCAGTTTTATTGAAGGAAGTCTGAAGAGTGATTTAGATATATGACAAGAGTTAACAAATACCTACATGGAAATGCTCTGACTGAAGAAGAATTATTTTCTGAAATTCCCACCCCTCATTTGTTTCGCATGTTAACATGTCTGCTCCACTGACCTTCAAAAATACGTGTTCCCTTCTGACTCCACCATCCCTTTGAGCAAGACCCATGTTTCACTCATCTCCTTTGCCAAGGTTTTAAAATATAGTGAAAAATGCTAAGCACTGTTAGCAAAAGTTGTATTTGTCTAAAGCTGATCTAAGGTATCATGGGCCATATTGCAAAACTTAACAAGATGAGAAAGCTGCAAAGATAAGTCCACTGGTAACGTTTTTCTTCTATTGATATTACAAGTTCTGTTTCTGCAGTCTTTACTCCCTTTGCTTTGGTTGCATATTGACTATAAAACCAGGGCCAAGAACTTTCATTCCATAATGTCTGTCTCATATACAATATTCACATAACTGAGATGCAAAGTAATATTCAACTACCCAACCAAATCTTATTATCAGCACTATTAATTTATTTTATTTCTCAAATACTACCAGAATTCACACATGCTATATTAGTTGCTGCTTAATAACATGCATCCATTCACCAGTTTAATTACTGCAGAGAGAATATACTTTGATTTTTTTCCAGGGAAGAAAGCCACAATATGTGTTCAAGGTCACTTTGTATGTTTGGTTTTGGCTTTTTAAAAACTTCTTAAGAGTTAAGTCAGCCTGAGTTTGATTTCTTCAGGAAAGTTCTCTGTAAACAGAGCACTATTTATATCAAATATGTTGAAATTCAGAAAATAATCTGTCTGACTGCGACAGACAACTGTATATCCAGGAAGCCATAAGCACCCATCTTTACTTGTGTTTTTTTCTTGTTTGGAGCGTCTACCACTACCTTTTGCTCCACCACTGGTTTTAGTTCTTATTTATTATAAAAGTTCATGGTACATAAAATGCTTTAATATAATCCAGAAATACAATATCTGTGTTTAATCTTAACCTTTGTGATCAATGTTGGTTAAGGTATAAACTAGATTTTATATTCACAGTTCAGTGTTAAATACTCCCAGTATAATACAAGCAGGAATACACAGAACTCAATCTAAAATGGTGCATTTTCACCCCTATGCAGGTAAATGGGTTCACAATTTCTGTTTTTAATTTGCAAGTGTCTTCACATTCAATTTTTCCTTGTTGATAAATATTCCAAAAAGTGTCAGGTTTGAAAACCTGTTCCAATATTGTTAAGCTGTAACAATAAATCACACCGTGGGGCAGCAGGTAGCATATCCCTCCAAAGCCTTGCTATAACTTTTCCTGCTGTGTCCTGTCAAATCCTGTCTACATAAATACTGCTGGTGAAATCCTGGTTCTCTTTCCTGGCAGCAGATATCATCCTGCTATTGAAGAAAAGTTATGCACCTTTGAAACAGTTTAAATTCCTGTAGGTGCCTTGGCATCTAAACCAGAACTATGTATATACGAAGTATTTAGTAGGTGGCCATTTATCTCCATGAATGATCAGTACCTGTTCAGCTGTGGTACCTAAGATCAGCATGCAGTGCTATAAGACTGATTAAAAGGCTTTCTTCCATCAACAGCAGGGATTCCCCTGGGAAGAAAATAAAAATCTCCTTTCTTTCTTACCTCTTCCACTTCTTCAGGTGTAAGCTCTTTTCTTTTATGAGGGTGGCCTGCACCAGGTCGAAATGCTCCCATTGGGATGTTAATATTAGCCTGTGAGAAGGAAATTATGACGCATATAATAGCGACTGATAAATAAACATACAGTTGGTAAATGGCAAAACTCAAAAAGGGTGGGACAAGTTTACAGACATTATCATGGTTTTTGAGCACTTATGCCTTCAATGTATGCATCATCACATCACTCCTGTGGGAAAGAGAAGTGCTTTCATCTCCATTTTAAAGATGGAAAGTGAAAAAACAAAGCTACTTAGAAAGCTTTTGAAGTTTGGCATTTTAGTCTAATGCTCCCTGATTTCATTGGACTTTAAACGAATAAGTACTAGACACCAAAGCATCTTCAGGCATCTGTGTCTGCTTCCATTTGGTCAAGGTCAAACAGAAAGTAAGCGCCAGAATCAGCATTTAAGTGTAAATCACCCAAATCCTACAATGACACCCAAACCCCTGGACCACCCTCCGTTCCCCAGCAACACCAGTTCTCACCTCATTTAATCACAGGTAGTCAGGAAGGAAAGCCCGCCTTGAGCTAACTTCAGCCATGAGTGTTTAAAACGTGATTTTACTGACAAAATTTGCCCACAGGTGCTACAAACTGCAAATGTAATGCCCTCGTCCTAGAAATATGCCTCTCGTTTGCACAGTGGACATGTGGGGAGAGTCAGGAAGGCTTTCTGACTCTCCAGCCCCTGCTGGGTTTTGCCCGGCCGCCCCAGCCCCATCTGCAGCAGGGGCTCGTGGGTCGGAGCAGGCTGAGCCAGCTCCAATGCTGGACAGACCGCTAGCCCCCGGCTTTGGCAAACTCCCTCCAGAACGATACCCACATGACTGTATCGATCTGATTTGTTATCTGTGGCAGAAAGCCAGTAGCTATAACATAAATGTAGCTTATAATGGATACCTTGAAAGTAAAGATTTTTGAGAAAAGAACGGGAGGAAACATTGCTTAGGAAAGAGTAGCTAAAATGTATCTATTTCCCAATGTGCCCCAGCCTGGATTATTTTAAAAGTCAAATGGCGTGATCAACTAAATGCACAACTTATACTTATTCTTATCTCGTGATCTCAGAAGAGAATCTGGTCCTAGGAAATGTCATCAAAATATCATGACTCCCACTGGTAAAACCAGGGGGTGAATTGGTAATGTTACGGAGCGGAAGCGGAGAGCCTTCCAACAGCGAGCTGTGTTACTGTAGTTTACCATCTGACTGATTTGCATTAAATGAAGATGAATAATCCCATCCTTCTGCTCAGATCGTGGTCTTGCAGATCATGGCCCAGGTTGAGTCAGCACAGGAAAACAACCCACTGTTTTCAGTAACAACAACTGTTCTGACAGCTGTAATCAAACATCGAGCAAATTAAAAATCCATTTGCCAAGAAATGAGCACCTTTCTCTTTATTCTATTTATCTGTTTCCCTTTATTTTATTTATGCAAGATGATGCTGCCATTTCAGTGGGTCTGGCAAATGTCTGAAGGGCCATGTACTTCACAGACCACTGGGTCTTCATTTCATAATGGTTTTTCACTAAGCATTAGTTCAGGTATCGTGAAACCTTTCATCTGTACTTCCTAAGTTCCCAGGAGACAGGGCATTTTCAGCCTCGTAATACTTAACCCATTATTTCATTTAGGAGTGGAAAAAAACAGCTTTGCTATTTTTAATTTTAAGCATCTCCCCTGCCAGGCTCTGGTACCTGCAGGCATCTTATTTTTTTGGAATAAAACACTTCTCTGCACTTTACAGCTAGCGTGGTCATACAAGTTCACAGAACTGAAACATTGAGAGTTCTTTCTCCTCTTGGTGCTCATTCTGAACTCAGGCATTCCTTCCCCTTGGAGTCAGTAAAAGCAGAAGCCAGCCTCCCGCAGCCACCCAGGGCAT